TATATATATATACATATGTGTATATATATATATATATATATATATATATATATATATATATATATATATATATATATATATATATATATATATATATATATATATTAAAATTAAGAAATACAATATATAATAATATAATAATCAACAGATAAACTGATTAGGTTTTATCAAATAAAAATATGAAATATGGAAATACTTTAAAAATGCAAAGCTACTTAAGCTCTTTTTTGTGCACTGTAGGAATTGCAAGGAATGAGAAACACACTGATACGCTACAAGTATGGTTTTTTTTTTTTTTTTTACATTTTAAGTTTACATTTGTCGTAATACAATACTTTAACAAATACAAACAAGGTTTCTGACAGAAGATCGTACTGATCTTATCATAAGAACCTTTTACAAGCATTTAGCATAATTATTTACAATGTATATCATTACTTTGATAATATTAAAAAGCCGTGGCGCAGTGGTTAGAGTTCTGGCTCAGAACCCAGAGGTCCGGGGTTCGACGCCAGCTCTAGCCCAACAAGCGACATTGGTACGGAAGGAGGCGTGAACTTCCCGCTAAATGCTCTCCCGCGGTGCTCTATGATAAGACCGTAAGGACTTCTGGGAGCACCTAAATACATATTAAAAAAAAAAAAAAAAAAAAAAATCTATATATAAAATAAACAGAAAAGTAAAACAAAGAGTCGTTACATAAAACGTATTTTACAATTAACATATAACGTATTTTACAATTAAAAAAGTTCTAAATAAAGCTACATAATTACAATTAGAAGAACCTTATTATGTCATCGGAAAATAAAATTAAATTTTTGAGTTTATGTTTGAAAATTGGAAAAGTGTAAAATATATCAAAATTTGGCAAAACAACTTTATTTCAAATATATGGCGCACGATAAGCAATACCATACTAGTTAAACTTTGCTCGACAAAAAGGTTTATGCAAAAATTTATTATATCTAAGAGTGTATTATTTTATTGATTTTTCACAAAAGAGAACTTTAAAGATAGGTAGGGATAAGTTTTTTTTCCACAAATACATAAAGCAAAAAACATTAAACACATAAGCTCGTAAATATTAAGAATTTTCATTTCAATAAAAAAAGGTTTGGAATGAGTGTATCGATCCGCAAAATTAATTAAACGGATCGCATGCTTCTGACGGCGGTAAAGACATTGTAACTTGCTTTTTTCTGTGCTTCCCCAAGCAATATTTGCATAATTTAAATAGGTATGAATAAATGAGTAGTATAGTTGGGTTAAATCTTTTTTACATAGATATGTTCTGGATTTATATAAAATTCCAATGCTTTTATAAATTTTTGTGCTAATATAGTCAATCTGCGCTTTCCATGTGATGTTTTCATCAAGAAAAACACCCAAAAACTTTGTGACATAGTGTCTTTTTATCACAGTATTATCAATAAAGATTTCTGGTAAATTTTGGGGCGAAAAAGGTTTTTTTGCGATTGGATGGAAGAGAATCCATTTTGTTTTGTTACTGTTAAGAGTTAGCTTATTGCATTTAAACCATTCTGATATGTTTTTAAGTTCATCGTTCATACTAGAAAAGAGTTTGTAAATATCATTATTGGAAATAAATAAATTGGTGTCATCAGCAAACATTATACTCATTAAATTTGAGGCTTTATTTAGGTCGTTTATATAAATCAAGAACAACAGTGGTCCCAAAATGGAACATTGGGGAACGCCACATGAAACATTTAGGAACTCATTTGGATAACAACTATTTCTAAAAACAAATTGTTTACGGTTAGATAAATAACTTCGGAACCATTTTATAACTTTGTAATTTATTCCATAGTATTTCAGTTTTTGTATCAAAATTTAATGATCTACAGTATCGAACGCCTTTGATAGGTCGATAAAAACACCTAATGTAAATTTAGATTTTTCAAAAGAATTTGAAGTTTCACTTACATGTTGGATAATTGCATGTTCCGTCGAATTGTTTTTTTTAAAACCAAACTGGTTGGCGTATAACAAATTATGAGAAAAGGAGATAATTGTATAATCTATGATACATAATGCGTTCTAGTATTTTTGAGAATGTGCAGAGGACAGAGATAATTACTGATATTTGTTTGATCTCCCTCTTTTAAAGTTGGGGTAATTTTAGCAATTTTTAATTGATCCGGAAAAACTTCTTGGTGGATAGATGCTCCATAAACCTTAAAAAGTATATCTTTTAATTGTTCAAAACATTCTATAACTATATTACCGTTTATGTCATCTGCTTTGCTTGCTTTGCTTTTTTTAAGGGATTTGAATGCTTTTTCGAATTCATGAAAAGTTAGCTCAGAATATAATTCGTTGGAACTAATGCAATTATCCATCTGTACTAGAAAATCGTTAAATGTTGCTTTGGTATAAGGAATTTTATTTGCTAGTTTAGGACCGATGCCAGTGAAGAATTTATTAAACTCATGTGCTATAGCCTTTGGTTCGCATATATGCGAACCAAAGTATAGTGGATAACATACGCATATATGCGTATGTTATCCACTATAACCATCTGGGGAAGAGAACCTGAGCATTTTTTTTGTCTGCCAGTAATTTCGTTCATTATTTGCCAATTGCGTTTTTGTTATTTTTGAATTTATCTAGGAGTTTTGTGTAATAAGTTTTTTTTTTTTTTTACATGTTTATTTTTTACATGTTTAAAGTATTTACAAGTAAAAAATTTTAAATTGTTTTGTTTACAATAAAAATATCCGAGTAAATATACTTTTTTTACATATGTTTATATTATAGAAATAAAATAGAGACTATATTTTAAAGTTTATTGATTTTAATTTTTTAATATTCATAATAGTTTTTTTTTTTTTTTTTTTACCGATTTCTACTTTTCTTTTGAAACATATAATGAATATATTAAAAACGCCATTTTAAAGCGATTGACGCAATTTTCTTACACAGATTTCTGGTAAGGATTCGAGGGCCCCCTGAGCTTGAGGCGCCCGGGGCGCTGCCCCGCGTAACCCCTAGGTAGCTACGCCACTGCAGATATACATAAACATAACAAGGGATCGTCCACAAATTACGCAACGCAAAATATATTTAAAAACAGAAGTAGGAGATATAAAGCTCTATTTACGCGTCGATTTTCATTAAACTTAATCCACAAATTTAATTTTTTTTTAAGTTAAGACTCTGCGATGGAACCCCTTTGATTTTTCCTGTTTTATTTATTGTGAAAGTTTGTGTTACGTAATTTATGGACGATCCCCAAGATATCGATTTATAGTCTTAGCTTTATATTTTATTCGAAAATATAAAGCTATATCATTTATAAAAATTAAATATAAAAATAAGAAATCTAATTTCTAATTTATCAAAAAAAAAAAAAAAAAATAATAATTTCTATTCAAGTTCTTTATATAAACGCATTCAAGTGTGACGGTTGTAATTTTTGTCAATCGTAATTATCTGACTATAATTTAACATTCATGATGCCCTCAATTTGAACTCTATCACGGGAAAATCATCCCTCACACCATGACTTAACCACCTCCTTATTTTACGGTTGGTACAGTGTACCGAAGGTCTTCTCTTTTATTTTTGGGCATCATGAATGTTAAATACTACACCAATTTAATGAAAAAACATATGCTACCACATGTTAAAGCAAAAATGCATCAACAATGGTATTTCCAACAGGATAATGACCCTAAACACACTTTAAAGGCTGCAAAAAATTGATTCACATCTAAGATGTATCGCTGTTATCACCTCAAAAGACTATTCCATCATAATATATGATTTAATTTATATTTATTCCATCATAATATATGATTTAATTATATAAACCATATATTATAATATATGGTTTATATAATTATAAATTTCAAAAACTTTGATTGTTTTTTTTGTTTTTTTTTTACTTTTTTTTTTTTCAAATTGTAAATATTTACCCGAACAAAATTGAAAAATAATTATTTAAAATATTTTAAATAATTATTTTTCAATTTTGTTCACAAATACTCGTCTCTAATTAAAATAAACTCTAAACTAAATAATATAAAATAAATAAAACTATTCAAACTGTCGCTAGCTTTGGCCAACACAGTAAACATTGCAAATTTTAAACTAACTACAATGTTGTTTATGAATACAAATTAAGTCAAATGCTGCTTGTCTTACAAGAAAATCATTCATAAGATTACTACTGTAACACGGAGGATACATTCAAGCTACGTTTTGCTACTTTACACATCTTACATTCAACACTACAATTCAAGTATTTTTGCTACGTCATACATTCAACACCACAACTGATTTCAATATCTTTGCCAAGATAATATAAATATCTTTGCCGAGATAACATAAAGCTAAAGTAGATACAACTTGCGCCAGGCATTAATCTGCATTAACCTGATACAACAATTCAAAACCAAACATGCAAGTTCTAAGAACACTTCAAAAACACTCAGTAAAAAGGTGTCATAAAGCGATGATTGGAGAAAATAAATATGATTCTCCAAATAAAAAATAAATTTAAAATTTTATCAAGGGAAGATCAATTTGGGTAACGATGGTTGTGATGATTTTTGTAAACCTAACTTTACTTTTGATGTTATTAACAAACTAATAAGAAAGATACTCTTCAATAATGAAAAAAAGAAAAATACTGATGAAAGTTATATAGATAATAGTTTTTGAAAAAAAGATAATGCAATAAGCAAGATTCAACATAAATACAACTAGACATTTTTAATAAATGCAGAGTAAACAATATGGCATTCTTCGAAATAAACTTAAACAAAATCAATTTTTCTTAAAACAAAAACAAACAAACAAAAAAATTTTAATAAGTATTTTTCAGAATAAAAGTGTTTTTTTTTTAAAAAAACATTTTTAAAAATTATTTTAAGCATTAAATAAAGAGTGTATGTTAGCATAAATGTGCTTCAATTATTTGTTTACATTAATCTATAAATAACTTCGCATAATAAAATAAAAAATTCGCGCACTTTACGAAAAAGATATTTTCTTAACAATTATATATACACTAAAAATTAGCCCTACTAACATTAAAAGCGAGTTTATACTGGACTTATAAAGTTTTTTCTATTTTATAAAATTGGATAGAGTATAGATTCATCAGAGAGTTTTAAGCAATTATTTATATAAACAATTTCAATATCTCTAATTATTTTCTTCTTCTGGTCCGGTGCCATAAAAACATAAACTCCATTCTAAAAGCTGTCCGGAACTAACCCTACCATTGGCATTTAGAGATGGTAAAAAAGGTTCTTGAAAACCGTTACTAACTTGGACTCTCTGGGAACCGGTTTCTTCTTGCACTTGAACACGAGGATCTTGATAAGATAGCCCAGTCCTTTTAGATGCTTCTTTATCATGCATTTTTTGAATTTGGGCAAAGTTTCTATCGTAACCATAAACTTGATCATTTTCTCCGTCATCTTTAGTTATACTAGATTTTCCAAATAAATCATCCGCATTTTGAAAAATCTTTTCTCCTTCAACAGCACTTACATCTCCGTTACTTTCTCCGTAACTTTCTGTACTCTGGAGACCTAAGTCGTTGTTGTCAGTTACAACTGTTTTTTTAGCAGAATTATGGAGTAAAGATAAGATTTCTGCATCTATGAATATAAAGTTTAAAACAATAACAAACAATGTAAAGAAATATTAAAAAGAAATCAAAAAACAAAAGTTATTAGTAAGAGTAGATTTGTTTAAAGTTGAAAAAAAAATGAAAGTTATTAAAAAAATCAAAACATGATAAAAAAAAATTATTTCATTTTTTTTGACTTGATTATCAAAAAATAAACACCTTTTTGTAAAATATTTCTGTCTTCATCTAACTCATCTGTTTTTATAGAGTAAGTTCTAATTTTATTTCGCTTTCTAACACCATCAGGATAAGGAACATCTAAAATAGAAGAGCTCTCAGCCTCTTTCTTTTTCTTTTTCTTCTCCTCCAAATCCCTCATTTTCTTTTCGTCATCAATTACCTGTTTAATCAATTAATGCAATTTTATTATTATTGGTGTGATAAATACGCAAAACAACAAATTCAACGTTTTAATATATAAAATATCTACTGTTTTTTAGTGAAAGGATTATTATCATGGTTTGTGTACGAAAATAAATTAACTAACTAAAACAAATAAAAAATTATAATAATACACTAATTAATTTGATACTTTTTGTTACTTGAAAAACTTTTAAATCATTTATTTATAAACAAAATGTATTAACGTAATTTTGTTGTAAGAATAAATAATTTTTTCATACTTCTTCTTCTAAGTCTTCGACATCTGGCTCTTGTTTGCTTGTATCATGCTGCAAGTAACCGTTTAAATTAAAACCTTTACTTGTTAATGCCAAGATATTATCTGTAACATTTAAGGTCCAGATTCCCTTAGGGCTTTCACCCCAATTGTGAACTGTCATAAAAGTCCAGTCATGAAGACCTTTATCACTATCATCATAGCGTCGTGTTGATAACATCTCATTTCTAGTACCCATTGGAGAAAACAAATCAATGCTGACATCACCACGACGTCGGTGCTGAAAAGAGACGGTCAATGTAACATGCTCTAATTTTGTGATTTCTTTTTCTGTTCCTTCACATGATATTGTATCAATAGTAATTGAGAGAGTACCTCCAGCAGGAATCTCTCTAAAAAAAAACAACATAAAAGCCCATCAAAGTTAAAATATTATTTGTAATGCCACTATGACCTTCAGATAAACTAATAAAGCTTACTGAACAGAATTGCTGGAAGGACCATTGCATCTTCTTTGTTTAGGTACATTTCGCCAGTGTTTTGCAGCTTCTACCATTTTACCTGCATCTAATCGACCGAAACCAAACTTATGATTAAAATGAAACCCACCTCCATTGTCCATCCAACCCTCATCCACTGGACTAGTTACTTGTGCAGTATTCACAATTAGGTGTTGAACATCTCTCCAACTCAAATTGGGACTATTTTAAAATAAAACATGTGTATCATATACTACTTCAAGTGTTAGCGGCTTAAGGTTGCCATTTCGATATACTTTTGACAGTTTTGAGTGCCAACCTTGTATTTTCAGAATAAGATTAAAAAAAAAAAAGAATACTGAAGAAAATAAAAAAAAAAAGGTCCAAGCCCTGACAGATGGGTATTTTTAGTAGCCGACTTTAGGCCGATATAAATTTATATAAAATATATTTTGGTTCTTTGTAAAAACTCAAAGTCAACACTCAAAATTGTAAAAAGTACTCCAAAATGACAACTTTAACCTGCTATCTCTTGAAAAAAGCACTCTTTTGTAGAATACACTAACACAACTTATCTATAGATCTCTCCCGTCGTATTTCATTGCAAATTTGTATGCATAAAAGATAATAGATTTTGTTAAAATATTTCAGCCTTAATTGCATATAAAATAATTAAATTTTATGTTTTAAGAAAAATAATATTTAATTAACCAACTTTAAAATACTTGCATATACATCAGTATTAATTAAATAATATGTTTATAAACTATTATTATAAATGTTAAGCTATTATACAATACAACTATAAACTGTTTCAACTACATAAAACTTTAAAAAATAAAAAATAAAAATTACATTAAATTACATAAAAACAAAATTTACTAAAAAGTAAATTTATATTTTTGATATGATTTAATTAAATTTTAGATGCTCCATTTTTTTCCAATTGTAAAGCTGTCAGCCTTAGGGTGCAACAAAAAAAATAATAATAATAAAAAATTACTTTGCTTGAAGCACAAGAGCAATAATACCAGCAGCAAGAGGTGCAGAAGATGATGTTCCCTTGAATTCATCAGTACATTTGCCATGTAAGTCTGTGGTTATCTATGCATATATATGAAGATATATATACATATACAATTAGAGTTGTCCAGTGTTCAAATTTTTTTTAAAAGCAACCATATCTAAATTTTTACTCATACTAATGTAAGAGTACAATGTAAAAAAAAATTTTTCAGAACTTTGATTCTAAAGCCCTTACAATATATCTTAAAGATAAGCATCCTTTTTAGAATGCAATCATTGTTTATTTCACATTTTACAGAGAAATAATTATTTTGATTTACACATGTTCAAGTATTTATAAATTAAAGCATTTAAATCAATCGAAACAAAAGCAGCATGAATAAAAAATACTGAAGGTTTAGTCATGCTAGTGTTGGATTTTCAGTTAAAAGGTAGAAGAAATGTCAGATGGGAACTTCAAAATTGAAATAAAAATTGTGGTTTTGAATATTATTTTTGATTTGATTTTCTAAAGTTTTTTTTTTTGTCAAAATCAGGATATTGCTGCCAGTGTTTTTTATTCCATGCAATGACCATTCACTTTGATTTTGGTTCACTGGTTTTAAGACTAGCAAATTTTGAAATCAGTTGCACTCCTCTTTCTGCAGCATCATTTACGACTTTTATTGTACCAACAAATTTCTTAGGTTTTTAATATCCTGCTTGCCTTAATCACTGTTGATTGGGTTTAGTAAGCGAGTCTGTTTTGACACTAAGATTGCTGAACAATGTGTAAGATTCAGGGTCCTATTCAATTTGACAAACCAGTTTGGCCAGTAATATTTGGAAAAACGGGTTAACCAAGAATAAACTCTCATGTACTGAAACTTCCAAGATTTTGGCTGCCATATCTTGTTTCACAGTGGAGCTGACATGTTTGCTGAACAAAGCAAATGGAACCATTAATTAAAGTTCTATGTAATTAAAGCTGGTTCTTTCCAGATCTTCTTAAAGATGTCCAGATTGACATCTTTAAGAAGGTGTCAATATGGAGATATCAAAGTTAGCTGAGTTTGATATCTCCAGATTGACATCTTCTTAAAGGAAGTGAAAGATTACATCATTTAAGGAGCATAACAAGCTCAAACAATCTATTCATTTTTGATTCATAATTTGAGTCTCACCATAAAGCACTATCTACTTCATTAACCTTAAAAACGTTCTCTTTTTCTCTTTTTTGATCTAAATAGAACGCAGCCTTATCTTTAAATAAGGTAGACAGAAATCTGGATTTCATGAATAGCATCAGATGTACCAATATCAAAAAGACAAACCAACTTTAGCAAGAAGTTACCACCAGGGTCACCTTTGCATTTTTCCACCCAGATCGCTTTTGCATTTTTTGTTCTTCAACAAGCTCTGCCTCTTATCCCAGAGAATATAATATAGATTTTTTTATTTTTTTTCGAGGGGTACCAGGTTAACGTAGTGTTAATAATAATAATGTTTTTTTGGCTTGTGACATGATTTCGGACATTTTCTACCTGTGTTGTAAAATAAGAAAAATTTTAAAACTTGTCTGCAACTGGGTATTTGGAATCAACAATAGAAAATCATGGCTGTTCAATCAACCAAAAGTTAATAGAATCACAAGTGACATTTCTTGGTGTTGATGATAATGGTAAAGGCTGGATGGCACTGTCTAACAAATGACTGGAACTGGTTGGCAAGGACTTGGATTCAGTTTTTAAACTTTATTGCTACTTTAATAAACAATTTTATTTTTGTTTATTTCATTAAAACAAATACATAAATCATCAATAAGCAACAATAATTTAACAGTCATTACATATTAAGTTATGTCAATAACATATGGATAATGTGGTTGTTGTTCATAAAATTAGAATAAACACACGGAATTTCCGTAATATTTTAAACAAGAAATTGGTTATTGTCTACAGAAATTTTGCGTAGGGGAGGCTTTAGAATACTTATCAAAGTTCTAAAAAATTTTTATTACATTTTACTCAAATGCCGACTTTAATTCTGAAGGTTGATACATACATACATACATACATACATACATACATACATACATACATACATACATACATACATACATACATACATACATACACACATGCATACATATATATGTAGCTACATACATATATTTTTTGCAAGTTAATCTGAAGCATGCAGCTCGAGGACTAGCAAAAAACCCTGCTTTGAATTAAAATCAATGCAAGAAAAGGTTAGAGTTTTGTAAGAAACACAAACATTCTACAGAGAAAGATTGGGAGAAAGTAATGTTTTCAGATAAAAGTACGTTCTAACATTTTCGCACATTATTTATGTTCTAACAGTGAAATTATGTAAGAAGACAAGATGGGGAAAGATATGTCCACAAATATATAGTGCCTATTATAGAGCATTTACCTTTTAAAATAGTATAGGGTTGCTTCTCTGCACATTTTTTTGATCAGCTTAATTTTATACTGAAGGGCAAAATTATTATTTCTTAAGTGCATATGGAAATTCTTAAGAAAAAACTGCCTTTGAACATAACACCTCACAAAACAACAATCTTTCAACAGGAAAATGCACCCTGCTACACTTCCAAGGTAATGCAGAGGTTTTTCAAAAAGAACAAAATTTTTCTACTAAACTGGCCAGGAAACAACACTGATTTCAACCTGTTTGAAAACCTTTAGAAAACACTCAAATGAAAAGTTAGGAAACAAAGTGCCTCACAATATAAAAGATCTGCAAAAAAACTTGTTAAAGTTTGGTTAAAAAAGATATTACCAGACTTGTGTCTTAAACTAGTCCATAGTATGCCTTTTCATAAAGTCTCTGTTTTGAAAAATCGTGGTAACCATTTGAAGTATTGAGATTATTGCATTATTTTTGGAATAAATATTTTTAATGTTAATTCACCTCCCCAAGGCTGAGAAGGCCACTACAGTAAAGGAGGCTACTTTAATTGTGGTTGCAACCCTCTTTCAAGTTTATAATTATGAAACACAAACCTTGAAGAACAAGACAGCTATGTGGAGAAACAAGTTGAGCATGGTAGTACCAGGGACATAGTAGGAATCGAACTTAGAACTTCTCGCTTATTAAGCGATTGCTCTACCACTACACCTGCATATAAATTACTTAATAACTGCGTTCTAGTAGTCAGAAAAAAAAATTTAAAATGTTAAATGATTTACTTTTTACTACTAACACAAAATTACTACTTAAAACAAACATTTGTTTTGAAAAATGAATTCAGAGTTTATAAAAAAAAAGATTTTTTTCCTCGTATGATTTTATATCTATAGCAATCTTAAAATAAAGTTAGGATTCTCAGATTACTATAAATCAGTCAGGATACTGATATACTCAGATTACTATTGATAAGTTGATTTTAATAATATAGGATAAGCTCAATTACTTATAGCCATACCATTTTGTTTTCCTCTTTTTCACGATGTGAGCCTCCATTAAATGTAACAGCAAGTGTTGAAGAACATAGTTCTGTATAATATGCAGATAGTCCATGATCACTGATACACCCAATTGAAATTGTAAAAATTGATGTTGTGTAACCATCACAATTACAATCATCATCTGTCAAACCTCCATTACCTGTAGCCCAAACATAGATATTCCCTTTTCCATTTCGACCCTAAATGTTTTTAAAAATAATATTAAAAAAATTCATAACCAAATCTTTAAAAAAAATCATTCTTGCATAAAACTTAAGCAAAGAAACATAATTTCAAAAATAAAAATATAACATGACAAAAATTATAATCAGGGCCAGATTTACCCAGGTGGCAGACCTTGTGCCACATAGATGTAAAGTCTTTTAGTGTGACCCCCAGATTTTTTATTCGAATTTGCTGTATATATATTTTAGCATGATTTCAGTGAAGGAAAAGTGGATTTTTGAAAAAGAAAGTGAGAAAAAATGTACACATAAGTTGTTGAGCTACACAGTCGACAACTATGAGTTATTGACTACAATCTAATAATCGACTGTAATCAATTACAAAACAGTTGCCAACTTTTACTGATTATTAAGTAACAATATACCTAAAATTATTGCATAAAAATCTTTTAATTAAAACTTGACAAAACTTAAAACTTCTTTCAGAATAATCAAAGATGTTAATGAAAAACTTTTTTTCTGAAATAACAAAAGTTTATCTTTCACAATAAAATTTTTCATTTAGATAAGATATACTTTATTTTATTGACTACTTTAATCAAGTTGTCAATAAAAAAGATTTTCTTTGATTGGTGGGAGCCCTTGTGCCATAGCATACCCTGCCCATGTCTTAATTAGGGCCTGATAATAATAATAATTAAACAAAACAACAACATATTAAAATACTATATTGCTTACAATGATATTTATAACATAATCATTTTCATTAAAATATTAAAAACATATCCTAATATTTTATAAAATTATATAAAACATTACTACCTCTAAGGCTCCTCTCATTAATGCTTCTTGAGCCAAACGACCAGGTTTACCAAAGGTTTTACCATCATCTTTGGGTCCCCAGCAATTGCTATAGATATCAATGTAGTTTGACTGAAAGCTTAAAGAACTTCCTTCTAAGATATCAGTTGCCTGCCCGTCTAACATTCGAACACCTTGAATTTTGTTACACATTATATAGTATAATTTATTTAGTATTCTATAGAAAAGAATAAAAAAATATAATTCATCATAATTTATTTTACCACCAATATTTGCATCATAGGCCACACCAACCCCACAATTAGAATTATTTGCGGCTGCTGCTATTTCACCAGCACATCGTGTTCCATGGCTAAATAAAAAATTATCATAGATGTTTGAGTAATCAAAATAAAAAAATCAAGTAAAACATCAACATATAAGAAACTCCAAAAACATCTGTTCATCTGTTTCTCCAGCTAAACTTATTTCATATTTACATGTGAGTTATATAAAACTGCTAATTGTGTAATTATCATCAACTAATTATTTATTGATTATTATCCTACTATCCGTAATTCAGGTGATAAATTTATACATTGCCACATTTAAAAAATAAAAATCAATATATATATATATATATATATATATATATATATATATATATATATATATATATATATATATATATATATATATATATATCTGTGTGTATAGACACATACATCGTTGCTGCAAAACAAGGCTTAAGTCCATTTTTGCTGTTCTGAGAAAAAGGCATTTAAAGTTTTAATTCATCATTGCGTTGGATCTTCTTAATTAAACCAAATTGTTATTAAAATACTTATAGAATATGTAATTATTTTTCATTATATAACAAATAAAAAATAAAAAAATTAAGTTTATGAGAAGCAACAATGCAAATGGACTTGAAATAATCTTAAAACTATATAAAATACAACAAAATACTACAAGACCATTTTAAGTCCATTTTGGCTGTTCTGAGAAAAAGACATTCAAAGTTTTAAATTTAATCATTGCTTTTGATTTTTTTGATTAAATCTACTTGTTTTCAGTTATGTATTAAGTATTTTAAACCAAAAAAATACTTCTTTTTTTTTTGCCAAAAAATGGACTTAAGTTTTGTTTTGCAGCAACGATGTCTCTTTTTTTTTTAAAGATATTTGAATTTTACTCATAGTTGCAAAAGTTGAACCAGTTTTGGTTTCATACTTTGTGACATAACCTTAGGAGTATTTTAAACCAAAAAAAATCAATTTTGCCAAAAATGGACTTAATATAGTTTTGCTTTGCAGTGATGACAGCAGTGATGATAGCAGTGATGATAGTAGTGATGACAGCAGTGATGACAGCAGTGATGATAGCAGTGATGATAGCAGTGATGACAGCAGTGATGACAGCAGTGATGACAGCAGTAATGATAGCAGTGATAATTACAACTTATTTCTCTGAAGCCGATCATAGATAAACTTTGTTTATCAATTATCTTGTTTTGCAGTGTTATA